ACAGAGAGAAGGGTCTAGATCTACAGGGAGTTTCTCTTCAGTCTTCAGTTCGGCACATCAGTGGACCACATGTAAGGGAACTACCCAAGTCTAGAGAAAAGAGAACCAAAAAGGAGTAGGCAGAACAATTCCCAAAGTTTATATGAGGCTGAGAATAGTTCACTTTCCAAACAGCCATAATAGAGAAACCTTATCACACGTACATAGGAGGTAGAGTCGAATATTCAGAAGGGCATTGCCTCAGTAGTAAAGGAAGATGATCCCTAGACTAAAGGCTGCTTGGGTTCCACCTAGTAAAGCTTAAAAGTACTCCTTGTAAAGATCAAAGATAACTTAGTGCAAGGAAGCAGGGAAGTTCAGTACATAAAAAGGGGAAAAAGCAATCAGTAGAAACAGACCCATAAATGTCACAAATGATAGAATTAGTAGACAGATATCTAAACAACTAATCTAAATGTACTACATATGTTCAGGAAGGTAGGAGAAAGCAAGGAGAAGCATAGAAAAAAAGACCAACATTAAACTTCTAGAGATGAAAATGTAATCTGTGTCTGATGTAAAAAAAAATGTATGTATATTGGACAGGATTTAAGAGCAGATTAGATGTTTCAGAAGAAAAGTAAGTAAACTTGAAGATATAGCAGTAAATACTATCCAGAATGGAACACAGAATAAAGGCTGAAACAAACAAAAACACCCACAAGCATCAGTGAGATTCAGGACAGTTTTAAGTGGCCTAATAATATACATGTAATTAGAGTCCCAGAAGAAGACAGAGGTAATGGCAGAGGGTATGGATTGAGATGAAGTGGGTGAGGGGGAAGATGAAGAAATAATGGCAGAAAAATTACCAAATTTGCCCTGGCTGGTGCAGCTCAGTTGGCTGGTGCAGCTCAGTTGGCTGGGCATCATTCCACACAGCCAAAGGTTGCCAGTTCAATTCCCCATCAGGGCTCCTGCCTGGGTTGTGGACCAGGTACCTGGTTGAGGTGCATGTGAGAGGCAACTGACTAATGTTTCTCTCCTCTTTCTCTCTACCTTCCCCTCTCCCTAAAACAAAATCTTTTTTTAAATTACCAAATTGATATTCACAAATCTAAGAAATTCAAGAATCCCGGCAGAAGAAATATGAAGAAAGCTGTAACAACACACATCTTAATCATATTGCTTAAAACCAGAGAAAATCTTAAAAGCATTGGGAGAAAAGAGTAACAATGAGCTGTGCGAATGGCTGGGGAAGCTGTGTCCTTAGAGGTTTCAGTGGGAATACAGTGACGAGAATATTTAGAGAAGAACTTGAGAATATAGGGATTCCTCTGATTCTGAGTACCGCAGAAGGCAGGCAGGGTGGAACATTGGGGAGATGGCAGAGGTGAGGTTAGATTAGGGGATATGTGAAGCCATATTTTGGGATACAACTTGGATCCCAACATAGGATCTCTCGAGACTCATGTAAACAGGAAAAACACAATGTGATTAGTCCTGATGGTCTCCAAGGCAGATTGTGGTGGCAAGGCTGTGCTTTGGGGCACAGGGAGACTGGAGGTTTTGCCAGAGACAAGCAGAGCTTATCTTCAGTCCAGCTGCTAAAAGTGTGGAGCCTGAAAAGGGCAGCCTTTACCAGATAAACTTTGGAGCCATAATTGATTTCCCAGGCATCAGCTAAGGGTGTGTGTGGGTGTGTGTGTGTTTCCTGTCAATGTGCATCCTGATTTTTTAGGCACCTGTTGTAGAGACTCTGTTTCTGTAGCAAATAGGTTCCCAGCAAAAAAAAGGAGTTATCTCATCTATTGGAAGGAAATTCCCTGCAGTGTCTGGACTCCATATTTGAATAGAATTTATTTTTATTTTCAGTCACGCTTGGTTTTCCGAAATTGTTCTGATACATTTCATCAGATGGTTTTTGCACTCTCGCTCTGGTACTAGAATCACTTGGGATCTATTTATATAAATGTCTTAGATGTCTCTTAAGCCTGTTTTCCTAGGGTCTTCTTACCCCTCCTTCCCAAAGTCAGTTGATGTCTTTTTCTTTACATGCAATTATAGAGTCCTGCCTTGTCAGGATTTGAATGAAATAAAGCATTCTATGCAAAGCTGAGCATCAGCAGGCGTGGATTCAGTGATACTTAGTTAGCAACAATTTAAAAGAAGCAGGAAAGCCACAAGCTGTTCCTGTGAGATTGCTTTAATAGTCAGCTTTTTACAGCTTTATTCTTAAATATTTATATTAGCTGTTATATTGTCATTTGCTTGATAAAAAGCATAACTGAGTAGAAAAGTGTGCTGACCTTGAACTATAGCAATAGAGAACCTGGTTATTTTGATCATATTGCCATAAGCGATGCCCCACTGCTCACTTGGTGGCCGTCTACCTTAATTACAAGCCAAATATTTAGGGAAAAACAAATATTATATAAAATATAAGCCTAATAGTCCCAAATCTATAAAATTTTATTCAGTATCTTATAGGGCACCAAATATAACTTATGCAAGCAACATTTTGAAAGTTTAGGATGCTGATGATTATAAATGTGCTTTTATTAATTACACTCTATTTGCTGTGGCTATAATGGGATTTTAAAATCTGTGTTCTATTAGTAGAAGCAATAAATGAGCAGTATATATGTATCACTTGTTACCAAGAAGCACAATTTTATGTACTATTCCTTCTGGCTAATTGCATTAAGCATGTTCAGATCATGTAAGAATATTATAAAGTTAACCCGGGTCATATCACCAGTTATCCTCAATGTAGAGTGCATGTACCTAATCCAGACCTCAAGTGTGTTTTCCTCACTTGAATAATTAATGTTTTGATGACTTTCGGTTTTCTTCAACCAGAGAGACCCCCATTTAACCATCTTCCCTTTGTACAAACAAGAGACAGGTCTGAAAAAAGTTTGCGTTAAACATTCCGTCCACTCACTGTGAAATGGTATCAAAGAGGCGTTGACTTGGGAGAAATTGGAAGGAGTGTTGCCACCTCTGCCGCGTGCTCAGTGTGCGTTGTCGGTGTGATGTGGCTGCTTGCAAACTGGAGGCTGTGTTAGGTTAGAGTTGGGTTGGCCAGGAAATTCTGTTTAGTTTTTTCTATGAAATATGAGGTACGTTTTTCATTTTCACCAATTATGTTATTGATTTGGATGTTTTGAGCATGTAAGCTCTCTCTAGTGGGTAGAGGCCAGGGATTCTGCTAAACACCTTCCAATGCATAGACAACAGCCCCACAGCAAAGGATTATTTGGCCAAAGTGACCACGGTACCAAGAAACTTCACAAACCACTTTTGACACATTCAGTCAGTCACAGCAGCTTCTACATACACCACACAAGTCGTCTTCTGCATTTCAGTTGTGTTTTTACTTTCTTTAAATATAGCCCCCTCCTTCCCTTCCCCTCTCTCGAAAAATAAATAAATAAAATATTTTTAAAAAAAGAAATAGTAAAGCATAATACACTGAAAATGTGTATTTTCTTCCATCTTCAATATCAAAATGGCTGCACGAAATTTACCCATTTTTAAGTTTTTTTAAAAATGTACATTGATATGATGGCTGTCACAATACAATCTAACAAAAACTGTTTCAAGTGAAGATAAAGACAATTAAGCACTGCTAGAGCCATCCGACAGAAAAAATTAAACGAACTTTTTGGCCAGTGAACAGTAGTAACAAGTTCAGGTTTCCAATAGCAGGAAGATGTAGTCCCACTGTACTGTTTTGCTGTAGCTCGATTGTTCTGTCAGTGTTTGGTTTCCTTATTTTCACATTCTCTTTTGTCCATGTGACCAACCAGGGGCACACATTTTCAAAAGAGTTGATTGTATTGGGATGCAAAGGGGAAAGCTGTCTAACCCACATTATCTTCTACTTTTTTTAAAAGCAAAATCTTTCTATGGGTTGAAAACCATCTGATAAATCAAGAAAAATAAAGAGAAAGACCATGATTATGTTAATAATCAAAGGATTCTAAAAATCATCTCTTGTAACCCTATAACAAGCATTAGCTTATCCTGATTATAATATAAAATATGTAATTGGTCAGTTATTTTTGGAGAAAATTTAAGGCAATAATGTATCATATAAAAAAAAATTTTAGGTCAACAGAAAGAAGAAAGCAAACAAAATATAACCAGAGTCATTGAAATTAAGAACAACATAACAATAGCCAGAGGGGAGGGGACAGTGGGGAGAAGGGTTTTCAGGAAATGCTATAAAGGACACAGTGACAAAACCGAGGGGGAGGGTGGAAGCAAGGGAGGGAGGTGGGTTTAGAGGGGGTGGGGGGAGTGGTGGGGAGAAAATGCGGACAACTGTAATCGAACAACAATAAAGTAATTAAAAAACATTTTAGGCAAAACTTAGAGCTTTTTCAGCTTATACTTGAGAATGAGAAATTTTATATTAGAGATATAAAATTAAAATGCCTAGTCCTTTACAATTATTTTCTATATTTTTAGCATAACATGAACAAAACATTCTAGCCATTTATTTTTTTTTAAAAATGAGACCTAGTGGAACTTCTTCCTCTGTCCTTAACATGATAATTCAAGTTTTCTGTTAAAGTTAGAATAATTTGCTCTGACTGGTGTAGTTCAGTGGATTGAGCGCAGGCTGTGAACCAAGGGGTCACCAGTTCGATTCCTAGTCAGGGCACATGCCTGGGTTGTGGGCCAGGTCCCCAGTGGGGGCCATGTGAGAGGCAATCACACGTTCATGTTTCTCTCCCTCTCTTTCTCCCTCCCTGCCTTCTCTCTAAAAATAAATAAATAAAATCTTTTTTTAAAAAGGTCAAAGAAAAGTCTCTTAAAAAAAGTTAGAATAATTTCATTTTCAGCATGGAGAGGCCTTTTTTCCATGTTGGGAGTTATAGAGAAAGCTGTAATACTAGGATATAATATCGGTATGATTGAGTACAAATATCTTTGTTCTTAGCATTAACATTGGACTTAACTTGAAGAGAAAAATAGAAAATAATCCAGACATATCTGTTTCCTTTCAGGTCTTCGGATAACTGTGCTTCTGACATCCTTCCTTATGGTTTTGGGGACTGGGCTAAGATGCGTACCTATATCAGACTTAATACTTAAAAGAAGGTAACTCCTATGGACAACTTAAAGTGTTTTCTCCACATTTTTTTTCTTTTGTTATGAGTATGTTATATATGTTTGCTTATAAATATTTAGTGAACAGTTCTATTTTTAAAACAGTCAGTAGAGGGTCATATTTATGGTAGCATTTACTTTTTCCCTCTATTATGATTAGTTCCGCGGACATTTATTAGTTGTCATATGGAGGATACTATATACTAGTATGTAAATTAAAAAAGAACAACCTCATTTTCATGCTATCCAGGTGCTATAATAACTACAGGAAAGTAATAGTGTAACATAAGGAAAAAATAATGTAGTTAATGCCATAGAAGAGGTATACAATTGCCCTGAAAGACTGAGAGAAGTTTTAGATGAGTTCATGAAGGAGCTGATAATTAAAGTAGGCAGTGAAGAATGAGTAGAATTTCGGTAACTGTCGTTAGGGGAAGGGTACTCAGGGACAGGAATAGCGGAAACAAAGGCATGGAGCCAGGTACGCACAGGTCTCTTCTGAGGTGGGTAGGTAGTTTCATTTCTGCAACTGGAGTCCGTGGATTTCCTCTCGGGGGGTGCAAGGTATAAGAAGATCTTTAAAATTTTGTTTTCCTGTGGTTATAATAAGAATGATTTTACCAGTAATAATCTGTAACTAAAAGACATTTTTATTTACCAGGACATCCATTTCTTAAAATAGTGTTTAATTTTCTTAAAATGGAGGTCTTTACATGTGACCTTGAAAGCCACTGAGAGATTTTTTCCTTTTAAAAAGGACTCATTAAAAGCCCTGGCTGGTGTAGCTCAGTGGATTGAGCGCGGCCCTGCGAACCAGACAATCGTGGTTCGATTCCCAGTCAGGGCACATTCCCGCGTTGCAGGCCGGTTCCCTGCAGGCCAGTTCCCAGCAGGGGATGCATGAAAGGCAACCATACATTGATGTTTCTCTCCCTCTCTCCTTCCCTTCCCCTCTAAAGATAAAGAAATAAAATCTTTAAAAAAAAAAAAAAGGACTCATTAAGCACTCAAGTTTGGGAGACACTGGTCTGTAGCATAAGCTATAAGGATGGGATCTAAAGAGATGAGTTGAGAAAAGATCATCCAGATTATGAAGAGTCTTGATGCCATTCTCTAGAATTGTATTTTCCTCACCAGACAGTTGCGAGCCCCTCAGGTTCCTCATCAGAGCAGCGAAAGAATCAGACCTGTGTTAGGCAAACTACTGATTAGAGTTACGTAGGATTAATTACAGAGGCTGCTGGCAGGAGACCAGGGAAGATGCTGTAAAGAGCCCAAGCTCCAGGCATTTGTTTGTCTGTCTGTCTGTTTATTAGTTCATTTATTCAACATAATTAACTGAGATCCTACTATGTGTTCTGGGCATGGGGAATACAGCAGAGAACACAAGAGATAAATCCCTGCCTCGTGGAGTATACACTTCAGTTAGAGAGGCTGGCAATAAAGCAGTTAAACAAGTAAAATACATAGTATGTGCTGTGGAGAAAACAAATCAAATAGGAAAGAAAGATTTGCTATGTCAGGGGAAGGGTGGTAACATTTCAGAAAGAATGGTTGATAAAACCTCATTGGGAAGTTTTTTTCGATAAAAACCTGAAGGAATGATGCATTATCTAGAAGACAAGAATTTTAAGTAGACAGACAGCAAGGGTAAAAAGTGGGAAGGGAAGCGCATGCGGCTTGGCGGGGAGGCATGTGTCAGAGCCCAGGGAGAGACTGCAGATGAAGAGTGATAGAAAATGCGAGCAGAGCAGTTATACGTGGTGGTGGGAGAATGAGCCAGGAAGCCATTGGAAGTTTTGAGCAAAGGAGAACCATAGGCACAGTGTGCTTTATAGAATGAGGCTGGAGGTCAAGGGTGGGAGTAAGGAGACCTGTTAGGAAACCAGTGCAATAAGCTAGGTGAGACATGGTAGCTTGAGCCACAGTGGAGGCACTGTTGGTGGTGAGAAGTGGTCGAATTCTGATCATGTTTTGAAGCATTTGCTGGTGGGTTGGATAAGGGGAATGAGAGAAAGAGTAGAGTCAGAAGGGACTTCCTGCCCTGGGAAGTAGTGGGAATGGAAAGGGTAGCACAGGTGTGAGAGAACATGAGGGGAAGTGATCGAAGGCAAGGTGACTGAGGTTTCACTGGAGGGACCCAGGAGGAGGAAGGAAGGAATTTTAAGGATAAGATGTTGACTTTCATTTGGAATGGAATTTTTCATCCTTTTGTTTTTAAAGCATGTTTTATTGATTAGGCTATTATAGTTGTCCCATTTTCCCCCTCTATTCTCTACCCTGCACCCCCACCCATTAGTTTATGTCCATGGGTTATACATACAAATTCTTTGGCTTCTCCATTTCCCATACTATTCTTAACCTCCCCTGTCTATTTTCTACCTGCCAATTATGCTTCTTATTTCCTGTACCTTTCCCCCATTCTCCCCTCCCCCACTCCACCAATAACCCTCCCTGTGATCTCTATTTCTGTGATTCTTTTCCTGTTCTAGTTGTTTACATAGTTGGTTTTTGGTTTTGTTTTTTTTCTAAGGTTCGGTTGTTGATAGTTTTAAGTTGTCATTTTACTGTTCATATTTTTGATCATCTTCTTTCTCTTAGGTAAGTCCTTTTTTAAAATATATTTTATTGATTATGCCATTACACTTATCCCATTCCCCCCCACCCTTCATTCCCCTTCACCCTGCACAACCCTCCCCCACCATTCCCCCCCTTTCATTTATGTCCATGTGTCACAAGTTCTTTAGCTTCTACATTTCCCACACTGCTCTTGCCCTCCCCTTGTCTATTTTCTCGCCACTGTCTATGCTACTTATTCTCTGTACCTTCTTCCCCCTTCTCCTCCTCCCACTCCCCTGTTGCTAACCCTCCATGTGATCTCCATTTCTATGGTTCCGCTCCTGATCTAGCTGTCCACTTAGTTTGCTTTTGTTTTAGGTGTGATTGTTAATAACTGTGAGTTTGCTGTCCTTTCACTGTTCATATTTCTTATCTTCTTTTGCTTAGATAAGTCCCTTTAACATTTCATATAATAAGGGCTTGGTGATGATGAACTCCTTGAACTTGACCTTATGTGAAAGCATTTCATCTGCCCTTCCATTCTAAATGAAAGCTTTGCTGGATAGAGCAATCTTGGATGTAGCTCCTTGCCTTTCATGACTTTGAATACTTCGTTCCAGCCCCTTCTTGCCTATAAGGTCTCTTTTGAGAAATCAGCTGACAATCTGATGGGAAGTCCTTTCTCTTGTAGGTGACTGTCCCCTTATCTCTTGCTGCTTCTAGGATTCTCTCCTTCATTTTAATCTTGGCTAATGTAATTATGATGTGCTTTGGTGTGTTTCTTCTTGGGTCCAACTTCTTTGGGACTCTCTGAGCTTCCTGAACTTCCTGAAAGTCTATTGCCTTTGCCAGATTGGGGAAGTTCTCCTTTATTATTTGTTCAAATAAGTGTTCCACTTGCTCTTCCTCTTCTGGTACCCCTATAATTCGGATGTTGGAACATTTAAAGATGTCCTGGAGGTTCCTAAGTCTCTCCTCATTTTTTTAAATTCTTGTTTCTTCATTCTGTTCTGGTTGGATTTTTTTTTCCTTCTGCTCCAAATTGTTTGTTTAAGTACCAGTTTTCTTCCCTTCACTGTTGGTTACCCGTGTATTTTTCTTTATTTCACTTTCCAAAACCTTCACTTTTATTCTTTATTTTATGACAGTACTCAACCATTTCTGTTAGCATCCTGATTACCAGTGTTTTTGAACTCTGCATCTGATAGGTTGGCTATGGCTTCACCTCTTAATTTTATTTTTGGAGCTTTGATCTGTTCTTTCATTTGGGCCATATGTCCTTGTCTTGGTGCACCCATTTAGTTGTAAGGGGTGGAGCCTTAGGTACTCACTGTGCTGTGGCGCCATAGGTTGGGGAGGGATCAAAGGAGAACAGTGCCACTTGGTCAGCTCTTGGCCAGCTTTCAGTCACTTCCCCCTCTACCCATGAGCAAATTGGGCCTTTCTGGTGCTGATTCCCAGGTGGGGCCAAGTGTTTCATATTTTAAAGGGAAGACAGCAAAATCATTTGGCTTCCTATGGAAAGCTATTGTTATTTCCTGCCCTTCTGTGTGAGGATCTAACAGATGAGTGTCATTATTGTGTAAGAGATGCTCTTAAATTTTTCATGCATCCAGTTTTTTTGTAAACTTCCACAGCTTTTAAGTATAAACTTCAGTATAAACTTAAATTCAACAATGCTTTGTTTAAAAATGTCTATTAATATTTTTGTTAGCTTTTCTTCTGTTTTGGGCCATGCATATTATTCTTCCTGTCTAGTCTCGTATCCTTCCCAGATATAAAATTCAAGGAATAACAAAGAGTTGACTCACCGTTGGTGGAGAAAGTGGTATGAAAAAGAAATAGGGTTCATAGAGAAATATAAACAAAGAAAGGAATAGAAGAAGTAAAATAAAGAGGCCAGAGAGATTGAATTGTTTATGAAAAAAGGATATAAATTGAATTTTCGATCCCTGTGTGTTCACCTATAAAAAATGTAGGAATATTATCCCCTTAAAATGAGATGGCATTTTATGTCTATGCAGTATTTCCTTTAAGCTGTATTATTTGTAGTGCATATACAGCCATTAAAATGAAACTGCCGCAATTGGAATATGTATCTTTGACTAGTAGGTTCAATAGACCATCACTTTCAAGCTTGTCTCCATCTGACACTCAGCGCAAAGGGATAAAGACCATTAATGTGCATTTGTCCAGCACTGAAACAGCATTTAGCAGTCTGTTTGTGGCCCTGTTTCTCTTTGAGCTTTTTGAACTTTTGACCCAGCCTTCTGGAATAGTGTCCCTGCACCCTCGGCTTCCTGTTTCATAGCTCCTGTAAGTCTAGAGAATAGTGGCTTTCTGACAAGCCTTTTCCTCAATCATAACTAGTCTTAACCACCTTCCAAATGGTGTTCTACCTCTGTGTTGTTTATCTTATGTGCATTGTATCA